TTTTAGACGTGTGTAAGATGCTACGCTGACAGTCTCTGTGCGTTTTGGTTTGACCTTATCACGCTAACTATGCGGTTAGCAATATGTCCTTTTGTCTTCCACGCTGACAGTCTCTGTGCTGTGGATTACATTGTTTACGTTGGTTCTTTTTGTTCACCTGTCCGTTCTCATCCTCTATCCTAGTTCCTGTCGTTAGTTTGTGTGTTTACCGTCCTGGTCTCCTTAGTCATCACTGCCCTTCCCATGTTGTATGTATTATGGACCCTGTTATGTTGTTACTTTGTTGTTTTTATTCCATTAAACCACCTTTTTTGTACTAGCACCTGGGTCAGCCATCTTGAGTCCAACCCCAGTTCTCCCTCACCCTCCTGGTGAGGGGGACTAAACCATAACACTGTGGACCTTGTTCAGACACAATTAGTCAAAATAATCACTCACAGAACATTACTAGATGACAACTTTGCTAAATCGCTTAACTCTTTTATTAAGTAAAAATACAAACTGTCTGTTTCATTTGAATGCAATAAGTTCTATGTGAATTCAGGTTGAGTGGTTTTTGACCTGTGTCAGAGAATTCAGTCCACTTGGAAACTGAGTCAGTGGTAACTTGTAAAAGACATTTTATAGACCAGTGATTCAATAATATTAGGTTAATTAAAAACAAGCACTCTTATTTGGCACATAAATGTATGTTTCCACTACATGACCAATGTCAACACCTTTTATTCTGAGGTTATCACCAGTCATCTTTTCCCCAAGTAAAAGTAAAAATACCACAGTGTAAAAAATACTCCAGTCAAAGTAATTTATTCATAATTTAACTTAATTATAAATATATAAAATGTAATTAAACACTTAAGTAATCAGCATTTCTATGTTGGATGTGGTCAAAGTGGAGAACATTTTAAATATATTGAAATGTTTAATTCAAAATGTGGCGGGTTTGTCATAAAGCTTTTCACTGTCACGTCCTTCAGTTTGTGTTCAAGCTGTTCCACGAAGGTGTTTATTCAACTTTGTGGTCCTTCTGGAGGCTTTATACTTTATGCAGGCAGGTGTATTCATTATTTTGTCTGGCCCATTTATATAAATGAAGCTATGCTAAATAATAACTTTGTCTTTGTGATGTAGGAAAGGAGGATTTCCGGCAGGAATGTTGGATTAGACTGACTTAGTTTGAGCTAGGTGTACCTAATAAACTGACATCTGAGTGCATATTTAACATACAGTTTATATTCATTCACATATTCTACAAAGCAACTCCAGCTGTCACATACATGTAAGTACTACGTTGCCCTCCCATATATAGTAGGCTAGAACTATTAGGCTGCATTAAATGAAAACATTCCATTAAAGTCTGCAAATAACTGATGTTTCTATGATTTCTTTGGTCTTGTCTTTACCTATGTATCATCTGTTTTTGTACACAAAAAGCGATGATGTTCCTCTTCTTAGTATTATGCCTTTGACTGGTACTTAAATGCAGTATAACCACTGTGGCTGCACACATTTCTGAAAAAGTAAGTTTACCGTTTGTGTTAATTACAGGCTGCTGAGTCCAGCTGATGTCGCAGTTGGTTTGTGGAGCAGTTCAATAAAATGCACAGAGTACTGAATGTTCTTTTAAACTACAGACGTGAGTCGCACTCTGATTGTTTCAAACACTTTGTTCCACCGACTGAAGAGGATCAGGTCAGACTAAGAAGCTTGTGCTATACTTTGCTCTACCTTTTGCCTTTTTGATGAAATCCCATTGGCCTGTTTTCATATCCAACTGTTTGTACATTTCTTGAGACTCAGGCTTCTTCATATCTGGTGAATCATGTTCATTTGATTCGAGTGTGCAGTCATCTTCAGGTGCAAAGATACCTCTGCTACCAGAATCTAAAATAACCAGCCCATGCATGGTACAAAAAGCACTTTGTTGTGATAACTGACTTCTTATGGAGCAGCAGCTGTTTTGTGTGCTCAGGTTAAGGCGGGCTTGCTAATGAGCAAAGGGCTGTATGTACAGTACGGCTGAGTTGATGCCACTGTCACTGAGTTCAGTGTATAGATTATGACAGAGAGTGGGTAGTTTCAAGGACCTCATGTTGTGTTACCTTAATGTGAAGCCTGTAGCAGTATGTAACAGTACATCCCTTCAGACATCGCATGTGCTTGAATTCTGAGATTTTTGCATGAATTAAAACCAGCAGAGTTTAATTAAATGCAGAATATTCAAAGAGTCTGAAAGCAGAATGACAGCTCACCCTGACTTGAAGCATGTTTGCAGTGTTCACTGGGGAATAAATGGATAGAAAGAGGATGCCACTGGTTATTACAATAAAGAGTAAATGATGGAAGGACACTGAAATACAGCACTGAGGGATAAGACTGGCAATAGTCTATATTGTTTTTATATCCCCTGATTCTGTTAGAAGACCAAAATAAACGAAACTTGGATCCTTCTTACAAGTTCTCTCTGTATATCCGAGCCTGATGTACTCTGTGCCACCGAGCTACATTATTGTCCAGAAAGTAGTGAAACCGAGCTACAGTGTGACATGTTCCTTCACTATGGTAAATACCAAGCACTGTTATATTTAGATTAGATTAGATTATCTTATGTGATTACATATATTTCCTATTTAAAAACGCACATTTTATTTGTATTTAATGTAGCCTTACAAAGCACATTAAAGCCTCTGTGCTAAGTCAAATTCCTTGTCTATCTAAACATACTTGGCTAGGAAAGACCTGATTCTGATTTCTGAATTACCTCATCTTTTTAGAAATAAAACTATATGTATGTAAGTTACTAAAGATTTACATCATCAACAGGAACCAGATAGATCAGGGTTACAAAGAGGGAACGGTGTTGGCTTTGGGCTTTTTATTGCATATGAAAAACCACAGCCAACACATAACACCTGCCTTACCCTTTCTTCAACCTGTACACTGACTCTAGAAATACGTTATATAAATGTAGATAACATTTTCATTTCAATTGAAACTATGGTAGGTCTGACCTAAAGACATTTGTGGCTTGGAGTGAGTGTGCAGGCATGACTTTTTTCCCTTCTATTATTTTTATCCCTAACACAATTTGAGATAACCTCTGGTGTGCAATAAGCCCAGAAGTGTCAACATGACACTTCAGCGCTGGCCTTCTGTTGGTCTCACAGAAATACTAGCACTTGTGTGGCTGCAGCTGAAAGCTCTTGCTCTAGCAGCTGATGTACTTACTGTATGATTTCAAGAGAGATGAAGTGTTCCATCTCAGCTAGCAGTTATGTCCGTGCATTCAGATGTATGGCTGGGTTCATTTCGTGAGTTTAAAGCTCCAAGGACTTGCATAGAGATCGCAAGTGTCAGAGGATTTTCACTTCTAGCTTTGCAGACAAATCATCCCCCATCCATAAGTCTTCCTGACTGACAGCTTGGCATCTGGCTCCAAACCAAGTCTGTAAACAACAGAGTGTGCAGACAGAGAGACATGCACATGGAGAAATATTCTGCCCTCACACAGCCAGTGAGTTATGGTCCACCTATCAGTTTGAGAACATGCATTATGCCATCAACATATTGGTGGATTGTTTAAGTTGTTGTTGTATAAGGTGATGTAAAGTGTAGATTTGATTGAAGCACTCTTCAACCCTTTACAGGGCACTCTTTGAAATGCTTGGAAATTCAAAATTTCAACCCTAGACCATTGTTTGAAGATATAACTTTATTTATTTAGCCATTTAGGATACCCAAGGAAGTTACCAAATGTGTTCTTTGCCCAATAAATGGCTAACTAGAGATGAACTGCTCAAGAAAAGATGTATACAGATTGAAAGGGGGATGAGAACAGTCAGAGGTCTCCTTTAGGAACAGTGAACTTTTGACAGATTAAGAGTGCTGTGCTTGCTTAATGACCCCAGCTCTTGTAGTGGTGCATTCCCCCAGTTAACAAATGTAGCTGCACTGCAACTCAGCCATAATTTGAGTCTTTGACAAAACAGCTTGATCCACTTCAGTCACACTTGAAATCAGGATTAGAAAAATCTCTTAGCAAGTGATCTGAGAGCTGTAAAATCAGGTCAGTTGAAAATTCACTGAGACGCCCAAAAGGAAAACAGGCACGTGTTGTCAGTTCTGCTGTGCTCCCGTCCACCAGATGGATGGCCAATTGCCACTCCAGATGTGCTCAGAATCTCTCTGAACTCGAAGTAGAATGGCTTCCAAAAACCAAAAAGCCTCATCCACTCAAAAGTGTGAACTGCACACTGATGGAGAGAGTACAGGGATAATTGTAATCAGGCTGGTGCCAGTTTTCATTATGCTCACAGACACAGGCCTAAACGCTGCTCTGCATTTATGTGAAGCCAAACAGTAGAAAAGCTGTTGTTGTATGACTCACTGCCTTTATTGTGATAGGCAGGGTGGATGAGAGCAAGATTGGAGTGACAGCTTTACATCACTGCACTCTTAATCTGCTCCTGCCTGCTGGATGTGATGTAAGCTCACACTGCGGGATTAAAAAGAACACACTCATATACGCACGTACACACAAGGAGCTGTAGTGTTTTCTGTGCTGTTTTCAAGGGTCACCACATGGGTTAATAGACTCTTTGAGGTATCTGAGAACTGGATAAGTGAGGCAGCCCTGTTATTTTCCCCTGTTCTTGCTGTATGACTCCACCACTGACAGGTAAAAGTGCGCTTTGAACCATTACCAGTCAGCTGAATAAATCCAAGCATGGCGAGCCATGAGACCTCTTCAGAATCATGCTTCAAATACTCTGAATCACTTGTGAAATAATTATATGAAATATGCGGATTTAAACATATTTGAAGTTAAAGGCATCCACAGTGTCTGTGTGTGTGTGTGTGTTTGTGTGTGTTTTTTTTGTTTGTTTGTTTTTTTTTTTTTTTGTTTGTTTCCTTTCGCAGATACTTGCAATGGTCCTCTGGTATCAGCATTACCCCATTCATCCTTCCAGAGCTCCTCTCAGTCCTCACTCAGTTTTGCAGCTCACAATGCCAAGCTTAACAGAAGAGATGGTGAGTAAAAGAGAGGATGTTCCTGCATAGATCCAGTATTTCTAAATGCTTCAAATGTGCACCACCCACCTGCTGTCACAGCACTTACTAGTGAACATTAACAACAGAGGAAGCAGACCAGAAAATGCTTATGTGAACCTTTTCTCTAACGGTCATATGGGAGCCAGTGACAAATGAGCTATGAGGCTACATTCTACTGTGGCTATTTCAAATATTGAATCATAATAAGGAAAAGGAAACAGTCTGATTGGTTTCATTTTATTCTAAATGTATTGTGACAGCGTAAACTGTCTTGTTGCTGCCTCTTGGTCCTTTAGTCTCAGTCACTCCTTGTTATATGTCTCAAAGGAAACTGAACAGCTTCCATATGCCATCAGAACCTAATCAGAGCTACACTTGGTGAATGCTAACAAGACACTCATTTTTACATTAAAAACAAAAGCTAAGATATTCCTGTCGGGTGCTAATATTATGCAGAGAAAAAAAAAATCTGTTTTTTTTTGTCTAAGATTTTCACAAAGACAAATGACAGACAGGAGGTGTTTCGACAGAGACTAGGTTGTTGAGCTAGCAGCAATCTACTCTCTGTAAGTTTTCCCAAGACAGGCTGCATATGATTAAAAATGAACCACAAAGTGAGGACCTCCACTGTGGCTACTGGAGTGTAACTTTGCCTCAAAGCCTTTTATATACAAACACTCCTTGTGTGCACATCAGGACTTAATACATTTATGCAATCTGAGCCCAGTGGCGACTGAGCACAAACCGCAACAATTGACAGAATCGATGTTTAATGGACCCCCTCCGCCTGTGTTTCCCTGCTCTCCTTCAGGAGCGGGTGGCTGGTCTCCACTGGTGACCGACCAAGAGCCGTGGCTCCAGGTGGACCTCAGGGAGCAGGTGGAGGTGACGGCTGTAGCCACACAGGGACGCTATGACAGCTGGGACTGGGTCAGCAGCTACTTGCTGCTCTACAGTGACACAGGCCGGGCCTGGAAACAGTACAGGCATGAGGATGGTGTAGGGGTGAGTCTACATATGGATGTTTCACTTGATCAGCTTTGGATTTATTGTTGATTTTCTGTATGCTGTTTGTAGCTGAATCTAAATACAATCATTATTATCTCTTGGTTTATTTTGCTCATGAATAGATTCATTAGTTTGGGATATGTGGAAATGTTCGGATGCAGAAGAAACAAAACCTACGGCTTCTTGACTTGATGACTTGTAGTTTTACAGGCAGTTTGTACTGGAACTATTCCTTGGCTCAGGCCGTTTCCTCCTGCTCACAGTAGCTAATCATCTCTAGCTTCATATTTAACACACGGACATGAGAGTGATTGCCCATCAATCATCTTGTCTACCTCTCAGCAAGAAAGCAAATTAGCATTTCTCTCAAATGTTGAATTATTTGTTAAATAATGTAAAACTAAACTAACAATAATGACTGTGAATGATATAAACAGACTGAGGCTGGTGTTTTCATACTGTATATGTGAAGCAGGACTTTTACAGTGGGACTCAGGTTATAAATATTGACATTAAGACTCACATTGAGCCTTCTGTCGCATGAGATATCAACTCTGCTTCATGCTCTGAGCTCTGTGCCTCCAATTTATTGATGGCATTGCACGTCAGTGTCAGATAACACATCCTCTCACATTTTCCAACACATTCCAAGGTGTGGGAAGTCTCTGGTGTCAATTATTATCCTGCTTTTTTAATCCTCCGTGTAATGTCACAGCATGTTATGCTAGCCTGTGCAAGGACTCACGGTAATAGTCTCATGGTGGCACATGCCATTAATTCTTTATTGTGTTTGCCCCAGTTATGTCAAAAGCAGCTAACAAGCTGTTAGTTTTTTCATGTATTTTCTACACAGTTTAATTAGCATAGTGTGTAGTTGCCCACTGTTGTGTCACTGCTGCAGTGGTCTTTTTTTCATTGTTTTGAAATTAAAAAGAGATGTGAGAGTGAGCATTCTGTCACATGTAGTGCATTGCTGTGAATTATTCATCTTCCTCCATCCATTTAAAAATGCATTATCTAAAGTACATTAGAATATACATTACATTAACATTATGGCTATTACAACTCGGAACCTTCCTCCACAAGCCCTGTAACAATAGGAAATAGACTGCAATCAACAGTGCGTTATTGTCACTACCACAACAACAGTGTTGAGCTGTGCATCTGAAAGTACTGTGGTCCCCAACAAGCACACTATTTACTCCTGGTTGTGTACTCTTCACTAAAGGCTACAGTGATTATTATTATTTTATTTTTTAAAGAAAATTACCCAATCTTTTTAATTTATGATAGGTAGATTTAATGTCTTTACTCAGTGAAACAACCAACTCACAGCTATAAATTCAGTTTGCAGTTTCGCACATTTTAAGACCAGACACCTTCTATAGAGAGCCGAAGTCATGTGGTCACATCCAGTGTTCCAGTGACTCGATCTCTCATTTAGCACCAATCATTGTAAGAAAACTAAGACAAAGACTGCAGTTCCCATGATCACTCTGCAGCACGGCAGTAAAATCAGAGTTATTTAGTAGACTCTCCTGGACTTCTGTGGCCCAAGTATAGCACAGCTTTAACTGTGCTTTTCTGATAGTCTCGCCTCTCTCAACCTTTCACATTGTGAAAAAGGTAGGAAGATGTGTAATAGCTCCAGCCATCTCTCCACTACTGACTGGATATAAAAGCTGGACAAACCCACTGTGACGTCATCCATTGGTTTTCTAAAGAGTAGTTTGAAGCTCAGGTCTGGCCGTCACCATAGTGTTAGTGCATCACTCCTACTGCTACGTCTAATCAAAAATTGGTTAATTGGTTAACAAATCCGTTACAATGAACAAAAAAAATAATATTAACTTCTTTATTATGGAGGCTTTAAATATAGCAACAAACAGCACTTAAGACTTGCAGTAAATGGTGAACAGAGGTTATCATATGTGTAATTGTTGTGGGCCTCCTGATGGTGTGAGGACCTACAGTAAGCACCAGCTGTTCTGATGCCTCAGGCCAGACACTGAATGTTAAAGATTTTATTTACCATCTGGAAAAACTACTGCAGAGCTTTTTTTTCATTTTAGATTTTAACCCAAGGTTAATTTATTTAAGTAAACAAGAACAAAATGACCCAACACAGGTTAAACCAGGCATGTTGATGTGTATTCACTGCACAGACAGTCTGATCCTCCCCATTCTTCCTTGGTGTTCATGCAAACTTGGATTTTAGGATGAGCGAAATGCTGGATAAATAGTAGGAAATTAGTGTGCAATCACAAGTGAAGCTCGCACCCAAGATGACTAACTTCAACTTTAACCAAGACCTTTGGATGATATCAATTTATGTCCTTCTGGTATTTTAAAAAGTGAAGCTCAAAGGTATGAGCTCACTGCCAGAAACGGAGCTGTGGGGGGCTAATGAAGAGCAGCAGCTGCTGATACAGTATGACTGCTAGCTTGCAGCCATTCTGAGCTAATGCTGAACCAAATGAGCTATATAGAAAAATTAGTTGTTTAAAACAGCTTAGGCAAAGGCCAGCAACCCTACTAGCCCTAGAAATGGCCATTTTAAAAACATAGTATTGAACAGACTAATACTGATGATTCTGATATTTTTATTCCTGTAGGGATTCCATGAGTCTGGTGTAAAATGTACACTCACCAGCCACTTTATTAGGTACACCTGTATGATTGTGTGCACCTCCCTGCAACACTTCTGCCTTAACATCGGTGTTTATGCAGCTCAGAATGTTTCAGATTTTGGTGGAAGTGTTGCAGGGAAGTGCATACAATTGTACAGGTGTACCTAATAAAGTGGCTGGTGAGTGTATAGTAATATGTAACATGATATATTCTAAAGTTTATCTTCAGGGTGACACTGGGGGAAAGATAATGGAGTCATTAAAATCTAAGTTTATCCACCAGGGAGCAAAGCTAATATTGTTCTTAATAGATCATTAGATATGTTGTTTGCAAAGTCAACATTTTGGCCAGTTGCTGGTATCAGCCATTATCTGAAGATTTTTTAATACTCATACCAAATTTCACAGCAACGGCCAAAGAAAGCACTGAGCCACTGACTTCTTTGTCATTAAACTCCACCATGGGACAATAAGACACTCAAACTCGAGTAAAAACACTAGAAAAGCAAATGGAATCGCATATAGAAAAACATACCATTTCTCATTTTAACTTTATCTCTTTGACTCTCCTGTTTTGTCTGACCTCAGCTGACATCACCATGTGAAACAACAGGAAGTCCCTCTTCTACAAGCTGATAAGATAATTAGTGCAAGCCATGGGAGATAATAATGTGAAAATGAGTCATGCTGGTGGAAGCTTTGACGACATGGAGCGTGGACTTTTATCCCCCTCTGTCACCTATCAAACACAAGGACTGCAAAGACTTGAACAGCTTTCCTCATGTGACAACAGGAGTCTGTGTGATTATACTTTTAAAGTAAACTCCAAAAACGGCAGAGCCCCGTTAACCAGTTCCCTGTGTAATATATTCTGTCTACTTCATGACAAATTTTCTGGATGGTCTTAGCAAATATTCATAGGTAAGAAGAGTAATGTATTCTAGCAGGGGTCCAGATTACCATCATTATCAGTGAAAACCCTTATTTAAAAATCTCTTTTTTAATGCAGCTGTGTGAAATGAAATAAGTGTGTGAAGCAAAATCCTCTCCTTAAGGGGGGAATTTAAGCATTAATTTTCTTGCATGTTAGCTATTCAGGTAAATTGGGATCTAATGAGGATTAAAATGTATTTGCAGGAGTGCTACAGACTAACGATATGCTCCCATTGGCATTTCTTTTAATAATATAATAACAGTAACACTCCAGATCTGATCTCAGGGGGAATGTAAACCATTGTGTGGTCACTATTTATTTTAAAAAATGTTGGCTCAGTTAAGGTATTTTAGCCATGCTAACTGCATTGCTGCAGGGATGGTGGTCCCAGTTTTTAGCTGGTCAGTTCACCTGGTCCAGAGCAGATGGACAGATTACCATGAACATTTGTACAGACATTCATGTTCCCTAGAGAACAAATCCTGCTGACTCTGGTGGTCCCCTGACTTTTCATGTAGTTTTTTTTTTCAGTACTTTCCAACTACTGCTAACTAGCAAATTAGTTAATGTTGGAATGCTAACACCCTAAACTAAGATGGTGAGCATGGTAAATATTACACCTGCTACACATCAGCCTGTTAACATTGCCATTGTGAACATGTAGTCTTTCTTAACAAGACCCAAGTGGAGAGAACACACTGCCTTTGGTAATTTCAGAAACTTTATATATTTCTTATTTGCTGAAGTCAACAAAAGAACAAACAGCCCCCCTGGTAATAATGTCATGGAGTACCCAGGGCAGCTCCAGATTCTCCACCCTGACAGTGGTTGTGAGAGTTGAGAAACTGATGTTAGCATTTAGCTCAAGGCATTGATGAGCCCAGGTCTAGCCTCACACAGCCTAGCAAGACTGTGGACTCTTGTTTTATTAAAGAATAACCTTCACATTACCTCAGCCAAGTCAAGTCGGGTTTTTGTTTGCATAGCTCGGTATCACAAATCACAAATTAGCCTCAAGGGACTTTACACTGCACAGCACACAACACCCTCTGTCCTTAGAGCCTTGAATTGAAAAATTCCCTCCAAACCTCAAGAGCAACAGAGGAGGGATTCCTTTTTCCAGGACAGACAGGAAACAGATGTTGTGTGTGCAAAGCAGAGCAACATAGCACAGTTACAGTGTGGACAATCAGAAGGACAAAGTTAAACACATATGAAGAGAATGATCTGGCAGCTGCCTCCAACTTAATCTGATTATAACAAAATGAAATTCTAATTTTATCTCTGAATTTTACTGAGAAATATGCTAGCTTAGATACTGGGGAAATATTTAAGATCTTGTTGATCCTGGTCAGAGAACTTCTGGCTGACTGACTGCAGATCAGACACTGAAGCCGTGTTTTCACTCATGGCAAGGTTGTGTACTCGTAGCTCTGTTCTTCCCTACGGCTGTTTAACTGGCCGGTGACCTCTTGGAGTATACTGTAGCGTCTCTTCTGCCGGCAGCAGGATTTATCCCCAAGTGAATTGATTAAAATAAACTTATGTGCCTGCGCTGTATGCAGCATAAAGTAAAACTGACACAGGGGAGCTCATCACTGGAGAGGAAGTAAAGAGTTTTAATGAAGGGGAGGAAGACTGTTCCACAGTGACAGAAACATAAATACAAATAATGAAGTCACTGTGGAGTTAGGACTGCATATGCAGATAAGGAGCAATGTCAGCCCTCTGGCCCCTTTGGAGGATCTTCTGCACCCCTAGGCCTTTATTCTGAGACTTTACCTCATCCCCCCCACAGGAACACACAGGAAGTTCTGTTGTCAGTTTTTCCAAAGAGGAAAAAACAAACGTCATATACTCAGGGTAGCCTCAGCGGTGTTCTTGTAGTGATGCTGCCTATGCATGCTAATGACTCATGCTGACGTGTGTGGTTGTTGTTAGCTAATGAATTTTTAGAATGAGTGCACTGCAACCTCAATCAGAGTTCATTTGGTTTAAAAGATTTTCCATCTGGGAGACAACTGAGAGGATAGGGTTAATAATTATAATAAAAATACCAGATCATACCAGAAGATATATATACCAGAAAAGAATATTAAAGAAGATTATACTAGAAAATACCAGAAGATGTTCACAAGCTGTACATCAAACATACACTAACATTCATTGGTATTCCCTGGAAAAGAAATGCTTTCCATGTTAAAGGCCCACAAAACGGATTATTTTCATTTTGTGGTTTATATCACATGAGAGATTTTTATATTTCTGTTCTTCCCACTGCTTTTTACGTGGGCTTAGATGGGGCAGCTGAAAAAAAGATGATGTAATGTGTTCTGCAACTTGACTTGAATAACATTCATAAGGATGTTTTTTATCTTCAACGTTCAACATATCTTCAGCATGGTGGTTGCCTATTTAGTCCTGAATATTTTATATGAATATGTTGAGAAGAAATACTCAAAAGATTTGTAACCACATTTTCACTGGCTTTAAATTATTACTTATGAATGCAGAGTAAATGGTTGTCCACTTCACAAAGCCTGAAAATAAAAAGGTCATGGCTAGAGCTACATTATTACAGCAGAGATTCATGTTTTCATCAGCCTTATTCCCACTACAATACTAATAAGTATGTGTGATTTTCTTGGGGATGAATATGTCTTTTTTTTCTTTTGAGGATGTTTCTCTTTTTTCCTTTGCAAAAAATGCCGTTTGCAGCTTTGAAGTAATGCATTTTCCTGAACCAAATGTGTAAGCCCCGTTGCCATTTTTTAATCCCTCCTGCACAGACATGAATTATTGTGCATGTATTAGCTTACATGTTTTAAGATTCAGCCACAAGACAGCCAGTAAATAGCTCAAATGGGAAAGCTGTGCAATAAATCACAATAACAGCCTTAACAGTCACACTGCTGCCTTGATTATCTACCCCAAAGCAGCATCCTGGTGCATTTAATGATGCGTCTGCTTTGCTTTCCACAAGCATTGGATGGTTATTTGTGCCGCTGGTCATTGTGTTTCTGCTGATGTGGAAAGACAGCTGAATTATTGGCCTTGTCTAACTGTGTTGAACTGTTCACCAAAGCCTGGAGCTCCCCTGTCAATGATCTATCTTTTTGTTTTTTTATAGTACGAGGACTTATTGATTTGATATGTCACCTGCCTAGAATGGGTTATGAAGAGGCTGGTAATCAGTCAGTTGAGAGGAGATGTTGTTTGTCTCGGTTTCTGTCTCCATCTCTCATTCTCACTCTGCTTCTCTGTTTATGTCCCCTAGCGTTGTCTGGTACAGACTGAAAGTTGAGGAGAGGCAGAAAAAAAAGCAGATATCTCTCAATCGTACTCAGAGGTTTTTGTTTTTAGCTCTGCGGGGGGAGTACACAATACAAGAGCTCTTCATATGCCTCTGGTTGCCTTGCTGGTCATTTTTTCATCTTACAAGGACTTGTTGGAATGGATATTCTCATATTTCTACACCACACAATGATTCTTATCACTTTACATCAAGTAGTATGTTCAAGGATAGGAAGAAGACATTGCCCTTGGGTTAGCCTTGTCAGCACTTTGTCACAGTCTGTGATATTCAAAGATTTAGATTTTTTATTCCACTTATATTTCATGTATCCAGCTAAAAATGGATTTTTCCACTCCCTGGTGAAAATTCTACTATTCACTTTGGAATTTAGCTCATTAGTTGTTTCTCTGAGGAGCCTTGGCAACTTATTTTACACCTTTTTATTTATTTATTTCTTTTTTAAAACGTTCTTCTTTTGCAACCATTATAACCACGTTCCCTCTCTGGTCTTGCAGAGCTTTGTCGGGAATGTGAACTCAGAGGCTGTTGTACAGAACAAGCTCTCCCACCCAGTGAGAATGCGCTTCCTGCGTTTTGTCCCTTTGCACTGGAACCCGAGCGGTTGGATGGGCCTCAGAGTGGAGGTGTATGGCTGCTCCTACAGTGAGTAACACACATTCTACAGTTTAATACAACACTCTGAAACCACATCAAACCTTTGTAGGTACAGCACCTGCAAGGGTTTGTTCATTTTATACACCCGGGTTTGCAGCTAGGAGGATTACTTTCTCTTAACTCTGTTTTAAACACTGCGTGACTGCAGACAGCAGCAAGACCATCAAAAACCTGACAGGCAGGGTGTGAAACACATGTGCACACTAATCTTCTCATATTTGGTACTTTCATAATTAAAATCTTGGAACACCTGATGATGCTTGAGTGTGAAAGACAGCTAACTCAACAGCTTAGCCTGTATCAAGTTAGCTTTTGAGACAGACATGGCTAGCCTTAGCCAAAACTAAAGCTAGTTGTTACCTATAAATAAAAAAATATTCATTTGGATGAACTGACATTTTAGTTGTTAGGTTTGTTATTTCAAATACTTCTCTAATGTAGCAGCTAAATCAGTTCATGAGGGACAAGAAAGAAAAGAAAAATAGATGAACTCCTGCTAAATGTTGCTGTCTTAGCAGCTGTGGCCAGTGAAAATCTTGGCATGGCACACTGAAAAAGCCTTACAGCACAGAGGAATTTCAGGCTACACTAGATAATTGTCATGATTCGGTTCCACTGCTTCCTGTCCGGCTTTTATTTTGATGTTACTTCCTGTTTTGTTTCACCTTAGTTTCGGTCTTTTTACGTTCTTCATCACTCACATTGGTTTAACCCGATTCGTTATTGTTTACACCTCTATTTAGGCAGCGTCCTCCCACCAGGACACTGCCAGATTGTTCTAGACCCCAGCTCTGACTTTCCAGCATTCTCTTCGGTATTGGTATTTTTGTGTTTCTGACCCGGACTGCTTCCTTGGATTATTCTGTTCTGCCTTGCCCTCTTATTTGGGACTGCTTCAGTGTATCGGCTCGTTTTGGATTCCCCTGGATGTATGTGTTTGCTGGCTCTGATCTCGGACTGTTATACCGACCGCGAGTTTGTGTTTCCACCGTGTCTTGTATGTTTTTTTGTTTACGTTAGTTCTCTTATTAAAGAGACGGGTTTTGTTCATTACTTCCTCGTCTGGCCATTTAATGAGTTCACCAAACACTTTTAGGCCAATAATAGAAAGGTAAAGATAGTATATTATAGTGTAAAATCAATTGCATACTATTTAATTCCTTGGCTGATCTCATGTGAACATGATCAGATTATGATATTCAAAAGTTCAACCACGGAATTGTTAATTATCTTTTTCAATTTGAATGAATCATCAACTATAAAATCAAGTGTGTGGGTTGTTTAAACATCGGTATTAATTATCAGTTGGCAATAAAGTTTCATTTATGCCCAGCACATCAAATATATTATTTACAACTATCTTCTTGATTTTTTGGAATCAGCTTTGTACTGAAATTGAACTGAGATGTGTTACATCTCAAATGTATGCCAGATTTTTAAAGGCATGGCGTTGCAAAGAATTAAACTCACTGGGGCTTGTCACTTGTGGGGTGGCCAGTAATTTTGGGATGGGGGCCATGGTGCCCCCTGGCATCCCCTTGGGGGTGCCATTGCTTAGGTGCTGTCCTGATTTTAATATAAATAAGAATAGTGGGTTCTCTCCCGGTACTCCAGCTTCCTCCCACAGTCCAGACATGCAGCTTAGGTTGATTGGTGTCTCTAAATTGCCCATAGGAGTACGTGTGTGTGGTTGTTCGTCTATGTGTTAGCCCTGCGATGGATTGGCGACCTGTCCAGGGTGTACCCCGCCTTCGCCCGATTGCCGACCGGGATTGGCTCCGGCCCCACCCGTGACCCCGCTCAGGGATTAAGCGGTAGAAAATGAATGAATGAATGAATAATAATAGTGCTTGTACATATAGAAACTCAGCCACATGGACTGCAAATTAACAAAAGTTATTCTTTAAACTAATGAAATAAGCTCACACAATGTGTTTTGTTAAACAAGACAGAGCAGTTGTGAGGGTTTTTTTGTGTGGTTTCTGTAGCGGTGATAAAATACTCAGGCTGAAAAGACATCTAATAAAAATCACAGCCTTTCTGTCTGTTATAAACTTTAGCTTCACTGCTTCTATAGTTAGCAATGGCCTGAGGTGCATTTATTTCAATGCGTGTCACACACTGCTAATGTATAATGCCCTTAATGCTTGGCTGGCTCTTTAAATTTTCCTTCTCAAAATAACATTTAAATCATTACTTGGAAATAACAGCCCTCAAAGATGTAACAGCAAAAAAAAAATTACATTAAAATAACTGTGATTGTAATGTGAGTGTTAGGTGCATGTTAAAAGGAGAAGCTGTTCAGAAACACAGTTAAATTAAAATCACAAGTGGTCTTCTATAAAAATACATGTAACAGGGATTCACTTACACCCCTCCCACGTGTTGTGAGGCAGCATTAACTAGATGAGCCAGTGAATTACTGTACTGAACCGCCATCAGAATATCCCACAGTGAGCAGCTTTATGATGTCCATCCACCATGCAGTAGTAAAATGTATTAATGTTGGAAAAGCAGTATAAAACTAATGCAGTCTCATATACTCAGCTGGTTAATAACTTTTGGATTTGTGTGTCTGCCTATGTATATAAACTAGCTGGAAATGACCAATGTGCCAAGACAGACGGAAAAAGAGATACAGACAGTTGACATTTCTATGCAGCTGATTCTGCTTCATTAAAGACAATGCCAGTGTCTCTGAAGCAGCATTATGTAAAGGTGACACTGAGAATGGCCCACACCACTAACTGATCTCTGCTATATTCTTCAGGACTCTCTGGAATCAACTGCGTGTGAATGGAGAGAATGAAACAGACCGATGATTATAGAGATTGAGGTTCTTTTCATTATGATAGTGAGGTAGCTGTGTAAAACAGCTACTCCGCCTTATTCAGTCAGACTGCTGTATAGCAGTGTGACAACACAGATCACATGCACGTGGTGATTAACAGGGCTGCATGTGTCATGACAGACTATGTGACCTGATAAACCTGTGAAGTCTGTGCATTTAGCTAGCACAGACACTGTAGACGGCCATTTTGACTTGTCAAAGCAGGAAAAGCACAGGTATGAATAATTAACAATGGCGCCATTCCATTAAGTGTCCCAGTAAGCCAGGTCAGCATGCACCGTGCTGGAGCCCTGGAAGTGGATCACCTAAATGGAATTCAGTCATAATCCCACCTGTGTGTTTCCAGCCGTGAAAAGTGGCTCCTGGCTCCACTGTGGACAGAATGTGTAGACTGTCATGTTACTAAAATACATTTACAGGAAACCAGTATTAATAAACTAAACGCTGATGTTGTTATTATTGAACAGACAGCCACTGGCTGTGCTGTAAATTAACTGGCTTGTCACAAGAAACATTTCTACCAATGCTGTCACATTGTCACGTGCTTTATCAGTTCAACTGTTGTGCTTTTTTGTTTCTGTTGTTTTTCGTGTTGTTGCTCCTCTTAATAGGCTGTTTGCATATGATGTTGCATCACTATGTTGCTGTGGCCCCAACTGCAGGCACAGGGCAGGAAATGATTTGCTACGTACATAGGCAGCACTATCACAGGTTCTCAGTGTGCCTGTGGTTTGCGTCGATTATTGATCGCATCGACCAAACATGAGAAAGTAGCTGTGCATAACTGGCAGAAAAGAAACTGACTGAAATTCCACAGCCATGCTTTTGCAACCTCTTCTGTTTGGCAGCATTACTGAACAAAAAAGAGTAGCAGTAGTAGTAGTAGCAGTACAAACAGCATTAGCGTTAAAAAAAAATATATATATATAGGAGCTTTGAACCCATGTTGGTCATTTTTAATTAGATTATAAGATATATCAAATTTTGAGCCTATAACAAAAATAGATTCATTTCTGACAACAAAATAGAATTTAATTAGAAAATTGAGACTGTTCAAACAGTTACAGAGCAACCACCTTTAATGTAGTGCATGTACATGTTTTCACTAGTGAACATGTATTTGCCATCTTTTCTGAAGCCGCTCAGCTGCTTTAAATGTGTCAAAATAAACATGCAAAAGAAGTCTTCCTGTGAATGAAAATATATGCATGAGTGGTTCACATCATTAAAAATGAAGCAGACTAAATTATAGACAGTACAGTGAGTAACCACAGTTCAGTGCGATCTTTACAAGCGTGCAGCACATTATACACCAGCACAGTGTGTGATGCTAAGTTACAAGCTATTCTAATTTTCTTTTAGAGTCATATGTGGCAGACTTTGACGGCAGAAGCTCGTTACTGTATCGGTTCAACCAGAAGTCCATGTCGACGGTGAAGGACGTGATCTCCCTGCAGTTCAAGAGCCACAAGGCTGAGGGTGTTTTACTGCATGGAGAGGGCCAGAGAGGGGACTACATCACCCTGGAGCTCCACCGAGGGCGACTGGACCTCTACCTCAACCTGGGTGAGCTCTCTAGAGAGTTTAACTTCCAGAAATGTTAAACATGTCTCTGTGGTGATTTTGAGAATCATTTCTAGATTTGAAACCTTTATACAAGAGGTGTGTGTTAGAAGAAGTGAGATAGGGTCATGAGTACAATGCAGCTCATTTTCACATAGTGATGACAAGTGGCTTGCGACAGTATACTGAAGGCCAAAGTTGTCTTCAAACTGCTAAATTGATCACGTGAAATGTTACAAATAATGGAAGCAAAGAGACTTGTCTCAGCCAAAGTTGTCTTCAAACTGCTAAATTTATCACGTGAAATGTTAAAAATAATGGAAGCAACGAGACTTGTCTCACAATAATATGACAAAAATGGTAGCATGTTGTGTGACTTAAATAATTACTTGATTATTTTTCTGTTGACTTGAACTGGTCCATATTCTGTGCCTACATTCATACCAAATGACCTGTTTCTGTTTGAGTAGGCACCATCTAAGTGATTGGGTAGGACATGTTTGTGTGTGTACACCTGCGCTCTTCCTGTCGTCTGTCACACACTCACAGCTTCAGCTGTGGAAGGTATCAAGCCATTTCTTCTGTGTTTCTCCAGACGACAGCAGGCTGCGGTTCAACAGCGGCCGTGTTGCTGTCACTGTGGGCAGCCTGCTGGACGACCAGCACTGGCACTCGGTTCATATAGAGCGCTTCAACAGACAGGTTAACCTCACCGTGGACTCCCACACACAGCACTTCCAAACCAAAGGAGAAGGACACTCACTGGAGGTGGACTATGAGGTGAGTCCATGGGTTGATTAAATTACACACACTGCAGAGGAGATAGAAAGAACGGCTTTGTCAGTGCAAGTGTACCACTTAATGAATTTATCCAGTATCATTAATAATACGCTGATGAGCAGAGGAGTTGGTAATGAGCCTTGGAGCAATATGTTAACGGAGTTGGTCTAGGACTAAGAGAGAAGGAGCACACATAGAAATAACATGTTCAAAATGAATGTAAAGAAAGAAACGTAAAATCTAATTTTCATTATTCATTTTTTTATTCTAGTCAAAAGAGAATACCATAGAGGACCTGCAGCACTTCAATATTTAACATTTATAACTAGTGGTGTGACAATACACTTGTAGTAAGATAAGAAAAGACTATTTCAACACCTTTCTTAAGAAATCTTCAATGATGAACTATATGACTCAAAGTCACAAAATGCAAAACAATGCATGTTTTAGCTAATCATCTTTTAATGAATGTCACTTCTGAGTATGAATTATCATAAAGCAGTAAAAGACAACACTGTAAAAGGTTTTGCCACAGCCTCCAACAGGAGTCTCCTCAGACCTTAAAGCTGTCCATGAACTATGCATGAGCTTCCAACCTCTGAGTCAGTTCACTGGTAGAAAGTTAACCAGCAGCTATTTAGAAGCAACAGTCACCAACATGTTCTGGTTCCATCTTCTTTAATATGAGGAGCTGATGCTTTTCTTTGTCAGACATGAGAATCAGCTGAGTCTCTGTGGATCTGTTGGTTGGACACAACAAGACATTTGACTCTGGAAAGTCACAGTGGGATTATTCCCCAGTGTTTGACATTCCTGGAATAAAAAATGTCAATTGGATTATTAAGACAATAATCAGCTAATTAATCAGTGACCCATGCAGTTTGTATTTCCACTCAGTTATTCAGGATTTTCCTTCCCTTCTGCACATACTTATTATACTCTGGACCTTGATGAAAAGCATGTAGACACCCAAACATTACACTAATGTCATTCTAAAACCATTGGCATTAATCTGCTGCTATAATAGCCCCCACTCTTCTGGGAATGCTTTCAAAATGATTTTGGAACCTGGCTGCAGGGATGTGATCCCATTCAGCCACAAGAGCTTTAGTGAAGTCGGGTACTGGTGTTGGATGATAAGGTCTGGCTCAGCATCCAGTTCGGCCCAAAGGCATTAGATGGAGGTGGGGTGAGGGCTTTGTGCAGGCTGGCCAAGTTCTTCCACACCAGCAATGGACAGAACATTTCATTGCGGATCAGGCATAAGGATGCTGTCATGTTGAAAAAAGAGAAGGTCTTCCTCAATTGCTATAGTGTTGAGGTTTTCTGTTGTTTCACCAACCCATGGAGACACAGCCCCAGACCAGAGGAACACAGTCACTGTGTGTTTGGAGCTAGTGAGTGGGTGTTGTTTTCTTACTTGCTGAATTACTGGCTCAGCTGGCCATGTAGTAATTGGTGAGTGTGTGTGTGCATCATGCATTTTGAGGCTGTGTTTTACATTGGTTTAACAGAAGGCAAAATGTAGGACAGGATGTGAGTTTCATTTTCTTTTTATAAAAATAGAACACATGTAGTGCATTTTTTACTTGTTTATACTGGATTGACTCCAGTGCTAATGGGTCTGGTTTGTCTGTTTTCTCTCCATCACAGCTGAGTTTTGGCGGCATCCCGCTCCCCGGTAAACCTGGCACCTTTCTGAGGAAGAACTTCCACGGCTGCATGGAGAACCTCTACTACAACGGAATCAATATCATAGACCTGGCAAAGAGGCGCAAGCCACAGATACACAGCGTGGTGAGTTTAGGACGTTTTCAGTTTTGATTGTTAGGCAGTGTTGCATATAATGCTGCCTGCAGTTTTAGTCAGTCAGTTTCTCATTCACCTGCAATCAGTGCACATGTACTGTACAGTACATCAGATCTTCCTCTTGGAGGTGTGTCCTGACAAGATACAGTCCTCTTGGAGGTGTGTCCTGACAAGATGGAGGTAGACTGATACTGGAATTCTGGGACAGATACAGAAATCAGTGTTTGAGGTTTTAAAAATCTAATGACAATATATTGACCACTGTTCAAAAAGCACATAAATGCACGAATTAACAAATTTTAAATGTGATACTAAAAACACCAAGAAAGCTGAGACTGAGCTAGACATTCAACAGCAGAAAAAATAAACCTGTCATTGTTTTCTGGTGGGAAAAACGATGTCATAGTGACACAGGTACTAAATTACCTCAAACATATGTTTCACATTTACTTAACAATGACATATACATCTGTGATAAGCAAACATCAGCTAATATATGGACCTGTCGGCTATGTTGGTGAAAATAATTAGAGCGTTTTGTATCATGTCAACAGAAATCTCCAGAGTTCCCTGCAGGTAGCATCTGTCCAGATCACTTCCTGTATGTCAGTATTGTCTCTGCGCTTCTCTTCCAAGAACAGATTTACTGCAATCACCAGCAGAAATGTGAGAAAGCATTTCATCATTTAAAAGCCATTTCACAGTGCAGAGCATTCCTATTAGGGATGGGGAATTCATGTAATGATATTTAAAGAGAGAGGGAGTGAAACATAAAGCGCACATGTGTGGGCGAGCAAGAGAGAGTGGGTGAGCGTACTGAGAGGAGAAAAGTGAAACTGCAACTTAGCTTAATTTGGTAATCATATATTGCATTTCAGTGTAATTCTGTGGTTTTTTTTTATGAGCTGCAGTGCAGAAGGGGTTTGTGCTGTGAATGACAACCAGAGGTTAACACATGACAGCTGCCTGGTGTGAATGTAGTTCATGTACATGTCTCCTGTATGACGGGGGTAAGGATTTGTTTCCCCCCACTAACTCAAAAGGTCAATTTTGTTTGAGGAATATTGATAAATATTGAGTTTCAAATATTGAATTTTGAATAAAATAACAGAAAACAGTATAAATATAAATAACAGACATATACTGTAAATGTTTGAAAATATTCACATGCAAACTGCGAGTTGTAAATGCCCTTTAGATTATTGTAGAACTTCTTCCTGGTTCATTCTGGTTCAGTACAGCCTGTAATATTGGAGGTTTTGTTTTCATTACCAACAAATTTTGGTTAAACTGAACGTAACCTTGTCATGTATAGTGGTCACTACAGTGGACGCTATTGTGTCATCCCATACTCTGCCACCCACTGGTCAACCATTGTTAAGTGCAAAAATCATTTTTCGAAACCAAGATGGCTGACGGAAAGCCAAAAAGGCTGAGTATCTTAGGAATACCTTGCTAATCCTTATACTGTGGATATACCGTAGATACTTTGGTAGCTACTTCCTTTGCTGTTGTTCTGGGATTGATTTGTATTGTTTGGACAAAAGTACTTTTATTTCTAGATGACAGAAGGTGTCTCCTTCCTGAGCGGTGCGATGGCTGCGTTGGCCCATGGTGTTCATACTTGCGTAATATTGCTTGTACAGATGAAGTGGAACCTTCAGGCATTTGAAAATTGCTCCCAAAGATGATCTAGACTTGTGGAGATCCACAGTTTTTTTTTCCAGAGGTCTTGACAGGTTTCTTTTGATTTTTCCATGTTGCCAAACAAAGAGGTACTGAGTTTGAAGGTAGGCCTTAAAATCCATCCACAGCTGCACCTCCTATTGACTCAAATGATGTCAATTAGCCAATCAGAAGCTTCTAAAGCCATGACATCGTTATCTAATTTTCCAAGCTGCTTAAAGGCACAGTCGACTGATGGTATGTAAACTTCTGACCCACTTCTGTAGTGAATCATAAGTGAAATAATCTGTAAGTGAAATAAACTGTTGGAAAAATGACGTGTGTCATGCATAAAGTACATGTCCTAACTGAGATGGCAAAATAAGTTTAACATGACATATGTGGAATGGTTAGAAAATCTGTTTTAATGACTTCAGCCTAAGTGTATGTAAACTTCTGACTTCAGCTGTAGCATGTTAGTTTAGTTAGTTAGTTAGTTAGTCGTCATCATGGTGGTGCTAGAGGAACAGTTAGGCCCATCAAAGTCATTAGGACTCATTATCTGGGTACCATGAATGTCTACACAAAACTTTATGCCAGTCATCTCATAGTTCTTTCTGTCTCGACCAAAGTGGTGGACCAACAAGCCAACCATTAGACACGAGCTTCCCCACAGCCGTACTACTGGTGTGGCCAAGCCAGTGCTTTAGTTTTATTTCAGCTGATTTGTAACGATATTTGATTAGTCAGATTCCAGGCATTCTGGTCAGAAACTGGAAGGAGACATGAAAGCAATCAGTACATCCTAACTGCTATCATTAAATCCAAGTGTGTGAGTGGATTCATTTAGAGAGTCAAACTCCTACACAAATCAGACTGGTTGGCCAGAGAGCTACTGGCGCAGCTCATCTGAGACACCCTCTGCATTTAATGTCTGATTGTTAAAAGGCCTTCGCTGCCAACAGAAGCAGAGAGGTGGAGAGAGAGAGCCGTCAAGATGGAGGCTGTAATGGAATTTCAATGGGACAATCTTCCTGAGGTTGATGGAGGAATCACGTTGAGAGTCAAAGAGCTGCGATTGCTCTGTGCTGCCCTGCAGGCACCCGGAATGATAGGACTTTGACCTCAGCAGACACGATCTGTGTTTGAATATAGCCAACGTAACCTCTGCACTGCGCAGAATTACACTGGAATGTAAACTTTAATGGATTTTATCTTGGCTGCTCTGCCATATTGGTAAGGAGCAAATCAATTTCACATAATTTCATGGATTCATCTTGGATAAAGCTTTTTCTGCCATTACACTTTGGAGCTTACATAGCCTCTGAACCACATCGATTTCTTAAATTATCAAGAAGAACAAGAAAAGACCCAAGTATTTTTTTTCCTATGTTTATTTCAATTCCAGTTTCATATGACATTATTAAACAGTTCAACATTTTGGGAAATACACTGATCCACTTATTCCTTTTGCCATATTTGTTCTCTTAGTTTAGCATAAAGACTGGAAACTGGGGGCAGCGTCTAAACTGGTTTTGTTCAAAGAAAGAAATCTGCCAAGCTCACAACTGAACACTTTATATCTGGTTTGTTTGAGCCATACAGAAACTGAAAAGTAAAAATGACACGTATGGATTTAACAAAGCAGATGTGTAAGTTAGTGATCTGTAGGCTTGTTCAGCTGCTTCTCCTGTTTCTGGTCTTTATGCTAAGCTAAGCTAATTGTCTTCAGGGTTTAATACTGGCTGGATAAATATGAGAGAGATGTTGATCCTCTCACCCAACTCTCAGTAAGAAACCATTGTATTTCCTGAACTGTAAAACTAGTGTTTTAATCATTGTTCATTTGTTTATCTTTGAATGGTTACATTTTCATATCATACACCACAACATGTGGCAGCTAAATCCTTATTTCATTTAAGAAATCATCTAAGAAGTATAAGTTGCTGCTGATGATTCATTTACATCTGATGACAAGTGGAAGTGGTTAAAGGTTTCATTTAATTATTTTGGTTGGGTAAGAGCTAAGGTTTTGCTCATGGCTCTTTAACCATCTGCTCATTCCTTTGTGCATATCCTCGACATCTATTTCCACACGTATCGCAGTGAATGTCACATGAGAGCAGCCTTTCCTAAAATAGATGAAAATTCATGTAAATCTGCGTCCTTGGCTTTGTCATCCTCCAGGGCAACGTGACCTTCTCGTGCTCGCAGCCCCAGCTGGTGGCTTGCACCTTTCTGAGCTCCAGCAGCAGCTTCCTGTCGCTTCCATCAGCGCCATCTGCCACAGGGGGGTTCTCTGTTCGCTTCCAGTTCAGGACGTGGAACCCGAATGGGCTGCTGCTCTCTGTGCAGCTGAACCCGGAGCCCCAGAGACTGGAGCTGCAGATCAGAAATGGTCGGCTACACCTGACCCTCCACAGCACAGGACGACAGAAGTCAGAGGTCTCTGCTGGTGCGTCCACAGTTCATGCACATGCACAAGAAACACAAAAACATGAACTGAAACTAAGTCCCTGACCCGCTTCACTCTTAAAGACCACAGCAGTGACCCTCTCTACTTGACACCTAAAGTGTATTTGAATTACAATGGAGCTTTGTGTCTCAAAAAGATGCTGTGTTGTGAATAAATTATTATGCTAATTACAGATTTTGGGACAATACAGGACAATATAAGTTGATTTGATAATCTCCATAGATCACACAAGCCGTTAATTCAAATATAAGGCATTGAGGAGAAAACAAAGTGTATCTTCAAAATTTACATTTGAATTGAAAAGCACCATTTATGTAGTAGCATGAACCTACAGCATCATGTTTTTCTTTTGGACAAAAGGATCTTTGAGGTTTTTGACCACTAGTACTGATACAGTATGTCTCAAACTTTCGCAAGGATGCACACGCACAGCTCTAAAGCTGACTGTAAGACACAACTGATAAGGAAGAAATATTTTATGGAGAAAGAACTGTATTCACTACTATTGTGACTGACACTGAACGCAAACGGAATTTTTGTCTGTATACAAGAAACCTCCACAGGCCACCTTTAAGTGAACCACTGATGTTGCATCAGTTAGAAAGTAGAAATCTGTTGAAGGGACCGCAGATCAGATACATCTGGACTGTAATATAATCTTAACCTTAAACTTGACCTAAGAGGATACTGGGGCATTTTTTCCATCCGACTTGAGAGGAACTTGAGACACGAGCACCACTTCACTGAGGCAGACAAAGACAAAGCGTGTCACGCTAATCCAAAATCTGGAAACAGAACACGTTGGCTGGTGCAAGTAATTTCATCCGACTTACTTTTATCACCTTTGTCCTCAATAAACTAAAAAAAAGTTTATTTTGTTGGAATTACTTGGAGAAAAATATCAACCAATTCTCTGTATTGGATTGCTTAGCAGAGATAACACAGATAACTGTGATTGGTTGGGTAAGCCAGACTCGCACCAGAAGGTGGGCCGCAGGGAAATATAGATGGAAGACAACCACAGTTAAGGGACAATATTCTCTTTTATATAATTTACCTGAAGCTGCATTAAATTATCTTACAAGGGCCAGTCAGCCTTGAAGCTGTAGCACATGAGTGTGACCTGGAGTCCTGTTTTTTTTCCAATACTGTGCAAATTAATTTAAGAATAAAGATTTAATCAGTTATTAGTTGGATATCAGTTGACTTGTCAGAAATGCGGGGTATTTATCTTATTTGCTGTCTTATTTATTTATTTTTTTAAATTATGAGTCATTGGTTTTTCTTCCTTTTTGAAGGTCACTGCTAAAATTATTATTGAACAGGAGCCCAGATAGCATCTTAGTCGCACATTCAGGGGCTAATGTAGCTGCTCAGCGTAGAGACCATTAACATTTTAACCACACTGAGAGATAATCCCTGGGATCTGGTCTGTAAATGTGTGTAAAACACAGACTTATCCCCTGTGAATGTACTGCATCAAACACAGACGTGGGGGGTAAATTTCTTAATTGCACCAAGGTACCAAAATAAAACTAGTCCAGTGTGAAAGGAGTGTGTGATACTGGGAGCAGGTGGCAAAGTGTTCTCTATGATAGATCTGCTAAAGCATAACCAAATAGAGAAAACTGGACTCACTGGTAAATCTTTAATGTTTGTGTGATGCATAAAGATCAGCTGGATCGGTAAACCTCAAAGTTAAGAATGACCTTTTTTTGATTCCTCTTTAGTGTGCAACATTATCTTTTTGTAACCAGCTATAAAATCATCACAAACAGGAAACTGCTGCACCAGTACTATCATATAGAAATGTCTGTATGCAATTAAAGTTCTGTTAACTCCCAGAAAAGAGGGTGTGAATCAAACTGACAATTGTAATTAAAAGTAAGGCATGCTAATAGATTTTAGAACATTCTCACCTTTCTCACCAGCCTCCTCCCAAGATACAAAAGTATCACATACCTCATAGCAATGTCAAATGTAGTGTAGCGGAGGTATCTCAGCGCAGTTATTAAGCTGAGCAGCAGGGCTCCTGTCACAAATCAGTTAATTCCTGTTCTTCTCACTTGTTGGTTTCTTAGCGCCTGGCTGAGTAAACCTGTTTCTTTTTCACTTTGACGTGTCGACAGTAAAACAGCTTGAGGCGAAATACAGTTGACAATGTCTGATAAAGGGCACAATACCCTTAACATGGAAAGAATGATCTCTATCTTCCTCTATCCTATCAGCACCAGCAGTTATACTCAATTTTCATGCAAGCAAACATGTATCTCAGTCAGACCATGAGATACAGAAGTGTCTACAGTGAGTACAACATCCAGGAGGAGCTTTTGTTTCATTCACCTCACTACTGCCAGTGAGAGCTGTCAGGCGCTTGACCACTGCAGCTTGCTGCAGTAATGACATGAAATTGTCACACAACACTGTGTATTTTCTGGAGGCTCCAGTGGGGCTCTCAGATGTAGTCTCAGGCACAAGAAGAAAAGGCAAACATTTTATTTTTCTGAACAGCTGAGCAGTAGCTATGCAGATCACTGAGATGATATAAAACACTTGAACTCCTAGGTAGTAGTTTGACACGCCCAGTTTGGCCAGCAGCAGGACAGCAAAGAGATTATGATATATATATATATAGATAGATAGGTATAATATGTGTTTGTGTGTGAGCTGCAAGGTGGAAAGTGATGCTCACTATTCCCAAGTGGCTTCACTGTTTATTCCGTGAAATAGTCAATGGGGTGGAGAAAAACTGCCCATGGCTCTCACAGTCTTTTCTGATAAAAGATTCTTCTGCAAGCGACAAGCATCATTGGGCTCGGTGAAATTCTAAAGTTTTCCCAAGAGCCTGGACAGATTTGATTCCTGACTAACTAAAATAACTCCCAGGGTGTATTCTGCATGACCATCTGGTTCTTTCCGAGCTCCCGAGCCACAGCACAGCTCAGTCTGGATGCTAATTTAGTCTGAGACCAGCACAGTGAGAACGGAGGTGGTGTTCAGTCGTCTTCATTCACAGCTGCCACTGCGGCGTTATCCTCCTTAAAGCTACACCTCTGTGACAATCAGCTGTCACTGTCAGTTGGAAAGAAATGTTTTGTGGATCGGGCTCAGTTGGCTTTTTACTCATCTTTTTGGTGGCCCTTTAATTTACAGGCCGTAACTACGTAGTAATAAGAAATTGCTATGAAACAGCCTGGAAAAATGGACACAAGTGGTTGTTGTTTATGAATAACCAGAAATTACTGGGAAGTACCGGCCAAGATTAAAGCAGAATGAAGAGGTTTGGCCAGTAATTCTTTTGTAATTTATTGTTATAATAACATACGTGCCAGCATAAGGTACTGGTTGTTTTGGGAGAAATGACGTCAATAGCCTACTAAATATACTATACTACTATACTCCACTATACTACTTTTGACAGGCAGCATGTCCTTGCTGTTACCACTCAATATAAACATAAAGCCTGCGTTCCGGTCATATAGCAAAGTGTTTTCTGTAACCAATACCAGTAATTTCAAGGGATTTACCTTTGAACAAGCCGAGGGTTGCGATAGCCACCCTATTCATCGTTGACCAACAAGAAATGGTAGCAAACATTAGAAATTTCATTTTCAACTGTTCTTCCCATTGTGTGAATCATTTAGATAGTTAGATCATAATGAAATAACAATATTTTCTTTCACTGTAAATAATATTTTCCAAATGTTACATTATGACAAGGTAAGTATTATGAAATATCACCATGGTTATCTTTCTACTTTGCAATATACAGGTAACTCATGGATGATAAAGTACAAGATGTTAAGTAATAACAAAGTAACTACCTACAATACTTGGCTGTATCACTGGAATGGCAGCTTTACATTTATATTGAGCAGCAACAGTGAGGACATATGCTGCCTGTGGTCACATACCTGTTATTATAACAATAAATTAGAACAGAATTACTGGCCAAACCTCTTTATTCTGCTTTAATTTTACGTGGTACTTCTCTGTAATTTCTGGTCATTCATAAACAATAACTACTCATACGTCCATTTGTCCTGGCCGTTTCCTAGCGCTTTCATATTACTACATACTGTAATTAACTGCTTGTAAATTAAAGGGTTACCATCTTGTTGGATTTAAACATGATTTTAGTTCCTAGGTATTGAATATTAGATTAACTGTTAAAAAAATAAAAACAAGAACACTGTTTTAATGAAAGGGACTTAAAATAGGTCACTTTTATGAAAGGCTATGTTTGGAAACCAGGCGGAAAATTTGCCTAATGAGGATCAGGATGATTATAAGTAAATTGGTGTGGATTTGGTTACAGTGCACATTCATGGCACCAGGTAGGGAATCTAAGAAATACCAGCACATTATACACTCATTATGACCCACAGTCAATGGAAACGTGTCCTAAAACAACTTCCACACTAGTGCAGTTTTGTAAATATTATTTTAATAATGTACTGAAAAGCACCTGCAGGTATCAGAAGTATTCAGTATGCAAGAAAAATAGCTCCTGACAGTCTTATATTATGTTACTGGATTATTATCACTGAGGGATTTGCATGTAAGCATCATTGTGCTCTTGCAGCTGTTGCACATTAACTTCATCTGCATGATAAAATATGCAGCAAGAATTTTATTGACAAGTGACAGAGCGGAGGAGGGAGAGTTTTTGTTTGAGGCTCAGTGTTGGAGGAAGCTGGAAGCTCTGTGGCTGTCTCTTGTGCCAGTGATGCGAAAACTGTGCTGAGAAGAAATAAGGGGATTTGATGACAGCGTTTTCAGCTAATGCAAAACAAAGTGCATCAAAAGTGTACTTCTAATTAAACCCAAACCACAGAAATGAATCAACAACCTCAGTCTTCTGTGGCTGTGTTGCCCTAATGCCACAAAGACTAGTGGCTGTATCACACTGTCTTCATAGCCTCCAGTTCTATAGGAAAATAGACAAATAACTCTTTCTGTCCTTCAGCTGACTCAACTGTTTGAAAATGTGAAATGTTCCTCAGGCCACAGAGTCAACGATGGACTGTGGCACTCAGTGAGTCTCGACACGAGGAATCTACAGATCACTCTGAGTGTGGATAATGAGCCATCCTCTACAACTGAACTGTGGGAGCAACTGCAATCAAGAGACAACTTTTACTTTGGAGGTTAGTGGATTCTCAAACTGGGTTTGCAGTATTAAGATATTCTTCCTCTATAACATGGACTGAAATAGAATACTTCTTGAAAGGTTGATATTCCTGTCATGACATTTCCATCCAGGCTGTCCCACAGTAGGCTGTCAGGTCCTGACTCCGACCTTCCAGGGGTGTATGAGGCTCATATCCATCCATAGCCAGCCAATGGATCTCGGCCATGTGCAGCAAGGATTGCTGGGAAATTATAATGAGCTTCAGTTTGACACTTGCAACATTAGAGACAGGTAAAGAAGTTTGAATTTCTTGATTTCACTTCTATTTCATTAAAGGACATTTTTCACAGAGACTTTAGAAAAAGTGACGTTCAACAGTCAAAATTGGGCAGACATGAAAATCTGTGAAACATTATTCAAGTTGGCAGCAGAGTTATTCAAGCCCACATTGTTAATTTGTGGATGGCAGCATGTTGTCTGCAGAGCAGCCTGAAAGTCGCTGACATCTTGTCCTATAGAGACAAACATGCTGACAGGATCATCCAATTAAATTGCAACAGAAACTCGGTAACACCTTCTCTGGCAGAGGACTATGCTAACAAGCTGCTCCCTACTGTCCTGTGTGGCATGCTATCCCTCATTACCCTGCACAGCTGTGGGTCCTGTGAATGGGATCAGCAACCCTACGAGTTCTGTAAATGTTTGTATGTAGCTTGGAACATTTAAAGAAAAGAGATAAACATGCACGCTGCCATTTTTCCCTTGTATTTGCCCTGAGGAGTATCTCTCCTGTCAGATTTCAAACTACCTGCTTTCTAGTCCAGATTGTTCGCTGTCAGAGGATATGCAAACACCACAGCGCTGCCAGTCTGTTATGTCAGTGGGCGAAGAGGTGCGCTGTCGGAAATGACAGAACGATAGAATGAGATGTTTTCTATTCCCAAGCTGAGTTGCATACATCTTTTGTATTTGCAAGTGCAAAACATATTTTATTAAAGGATGAGTGCAAAGGGTGTGTGGCAACCGGAGTCTGACAGTACTGCATTGTAAAAGGCACTTTGTGAGCTCTTTCACATGGTTAAAGTAACAAATTTTTAACAATTCAAATCATTAAATCAGAATCCAATCATATAAAGGTCACTTTTTGACCACCTTAAAACAACATAATAAGCTGACAGATCCCTGTTGCAGGTGGTAACAACGTGGATGAGGACAGTTTGAGGACAGATATGGCATTCTTCCATCTGAGTTCTGGCTAACTTGGGGTTATCTAGCTTCATTGAGCCAAATGCTGGCTATCACAGAGCTGGTTGTCAAATGGCTCTGTTAAACCTGGGTTTTCCTGTCAGTCTATGACCTAAGTTGAGCCCAAAGTTAGCTGCATAAGCCTCTACTCTCGCTTCATGGTACAGGCCCTAGAATACGTTATCTTCAAAAGCTAACGTTTGTTTTGGTAACATTAGCGATGTAGTATGGTCAAGATTTTACCATTGTACTGAGTTAATACTGAGTTAATTGGATTTAAATTTGGGAGTAATTTGAGCTTTGTGTAATGTTGTCGCTTTGTGGCACATTAGCAGTAGCTAGAGTGTACTACTGGACTGACATTTATTGTTAGTCATCTACCCCTAGCTTCAAATGAGGAGCTGCATTTTGTAGAGTTTGTCCCAACAAGGCATCTATAGTTTACATGGTTGCTAGGAAATGGGACATGATGGGAGGGGGCAAATAGTGGTCACTGGAAAACATTTTGGGGAAAACCTGGTCTGATTAGCAGCGACGACATC